TTTGAGGAGCACTTAAAGGCTTTGTCACACTTACTACATTTGTAAGGTTTCTCCCCAGTATGCATCCTCTGATGTTGTTTCAGACTTGAGGAGCACAGAAAGGCTTTGTTACATTCATTACATTTGTAAGATTTCTCTCTGGTGTGGATTTTCTGATGTTGGTTCAGGATCGAGCACTTCTTAAAGGCTTTGCCACATAACTTGCATTTACAAGGTTTCTCTCCAGAGTGAATCATCTGATGTTGCTTCAGGTCTGACAAATAACTAAAGGCTCTGTCACATTCTTCACACTTGTGAGGTGTCTCTCCAGAGTGAATGACCTGATGTCGCTTCAGGTGTGATGACCACCTAAAGGCTTTGTCACATTCGTTACATTTGTAAGGTTTCTCTCCAGTGTGCTTTCTCTGATGTTGCTCCCTGCTTGAGGACCACATGAAGGCTTTGCCACACACTTTACATTCGTAAGGCTTCTCTCCCGTATGCATTCTCTGATGTTGGTTCAGGTCTGAGAAACGCCGAAAGGCTCTTTCACATGCTTCACACTTGTGAGGTGTCTCTCCAGAGTGAATGACCTGATGTCGCTTCAGGTCTGATGACCACAGAAAGGCTTTGTCACAGTCTGTACATCTGTAAGGTGTGTGTCCAGAGTGAAAACTCTGATGTCGCTTCAGGTTTGAGGAGCATATAAAGGCTTTGCCACAGTCTTTACACCCGTAAGGCTTCTCTCCAGTGTGCATTCTCTGATGTTGGTTCAGGTTTGAGTACCTCTTAAAGGCTTTGCCACACAGTTTACATTTGTAAGGTTTCTCTCCAGTGTGCACCCTATGGTGTTGCTCCAGGACTGAAGACCACATGAAAGCTTTGCCACACAGTTGACATGTATAAGGTTTCTCTCTAGTATGCAGTCTCTGATGTTGCCTCAGGTCTGAGAAACACCTAAAGGTTTTGTGACATTCTTCACACTTGCAAGGTTTCTCTCTACTGTGCATTCTGTGATGCTGCTCCAGCTTTGATACACACAGAAAGGCTCTGTCACATTCATCACATTTGTAAGGTTTCTCTCTGGTATGGATTTCCTGATGCTTGTTCAGGGTTGAGTACCTGATAAAGGCTTTGCCACACAATTTACATTTGTAAGGAGTCTCTCCACAGTGAATCCTCTGATGCTGCTTCAGATGTGAGGACCTCCTAAAGGCTCTGTCACACGCTCTGCATCTGTACGGCTTCTCTCCAGTGTGCATTCTCTGATGTTGCTCCAGGGCTGAGGAGCACAAAAGCGTTTTGGCACATTCACTACACTTGTAAGGCTTCTCTCCGATATGGATTTTTTTATGTTGGTTCAGGTTTGAGCTCCTCTTAAAGGCTTTGCCACAGTCTTCGCATTAGTGAGATCTCTCTCCATTGTGAATTAGCTGATGTTGCTTCAGATCTGGGAAACGCCTAAAGGCTCTGTCACATTCTTCACACTTGTGAGGTGTCTCTCCAGAGTGAATGACCTGATGTCGCTTCAGGTTTGAGGAGCCCACAAAGGCTCTGTCACACTGGTTACATTTATAAGGCTTCTCTCCAGAATGGATCCTCCGATGTTTGTTTAGAGTTGAGCACCGCTTAAATGCCTTGCCACACAATTGACATTCGTAAGGTTTCTCTCCACTGTGAATTACCTGATGCCTCTTCAGGTCTGACATATTCCAAAAGGTTTTTTCACATGCTTCACCCTTGTGAGGTGTCTCTCCAGAGTGAATGCCTTGATGCCTCTTGAGGTCTGAAGACCACATAAAGGCTTTGTCACATTCACTACATTTGTAAGGTTTCTCCCTGGAGTGAATTCTCTGGTGTTCCCTCAGAGTTAAACTCCTTGTAAAGACTTTCTCACATTCTTTACATCTGTAAGGTTTCTCTCCAGAATGCATCATTTGATGTGCCTTTTGGCTTGAGCAAAACTTAAAGGCTTTGCCACATACTTCACATGCACAAGGCATCCCTCCATTACTGGTTTTCTGCTGTTCAGTAAAACCTGGAAAACAAGAGTTGTACTGCCTTATATGCAGTCGTGACGTTTCTCCCCAGAGTGAGTTACCTTATGACTATTTAGGTATTATAATCGGCTATCCTCATTCTTTACATTTAGATCTGGTGGAGACAGAGAGCAGAAAATTAAATAAGGAGCATTATTGGATGTAGAAATGGAGGGAGGGGGTGTAGAAATGATTAACACGGTCGTCAAAGCAGCTATAAAAGCTAAAGCTCCTTAGACAAGGACTTTTATAGACAGTGTTCCCAGGAAGACCAGAGGTGGGATATGGAGATTGAGGGCCATTAGCTCATTACCTATTCTTACAAATTAACCCAATCACAGTAGTGTTACAGGGCAGAGAGAGGGGCACGCCTGAACCCCCAAACCTGCTGGCTCTAAATAGGGTCCACCACTTGCCACATCAAAACGAAACGTATAAGACCTTTCACGGAAAGGAACTTTAATACAGCGGGTGTGCGTACACACAGGACAAAGGACATGCTTTCTAAACCAAACCCCAAAGTCACCCATCCCCTCGTGGGTAAAAGTCCACCCAAAAGGGGTGGGCCCAAGCAGTTCCTTCCCCAGAAAAGGAACCGTGTCGGAACACTCCTGGCCCTGGAGGAATGCGGCTGTTTCAGGCTGCCTGCGGTCTGCGCGGCCATCTTCTCCCCTTGCAAAGCGGCAGCAGGAGCGGCGGCGGCGCCCGCCGAGTCTGCGCAGGTCCTCTTGTCTTCCCTCTTACTAACCAGTCAGTTCTTTTAAAAAGTAATTTCCAGCTGCCTGTGTCTTTGTTTCCTGGGTAAATTTGCTGTGTGCCACTGAAAGGGGAACCCCGCTGAAACTTCTCAGAGGTCGCCCAAGGCCCTGCTTACTGAGCTCTAACTTCTCAGCAGAACATCAGCCCTAAAGACACATAAGCCGACAGTGCAAAGGATGGCAAAAGAAACCGCATTCAAGGGGTAACACACAGCAGCAGGCGTGGCCTGGGGCATGGTGGCCAGCGAAAGCTGTCCTGAGTGACAGCTTCTTTTGGCTCAGTCCTTGTATGCAACTGAGTGCCTGGTACGAATATCGCTTCATGTTAGTCCATGGGGAAGAATGGGCCTGGGGAGGGGCCCCCTAACCCCTGACCCTTTGCTCACTATTGGTGTGCACCTCTTGGTATGAGCCGCGTCATAGCTGACCATGCAAAACTGTCAGTGCAAATCACCCAGAACTCTGTAGGAACTAAAGTGTGTACACACCCCTGACTTCCTACGAAGGGGCTCGGCCTTGGGATGCGAATCAGCTGAGCCAGCACCAGCGCATTAACCTGCTTCTTGCGGTCCCCGGGGTCCACGTCCTTGGGTTAGATAACAGTTGTAGCGATATTAAAAAGCTGGATAAAATATATATATATATATATATATATAATCTGAAGCAATCCAACAATCCCAAATATGAGATCCAAGAAAAGTTGAATTGGGATCTTGAAGAGTCATTAGCATCTCTGTGTTCCTTGTAACACTATTCAGAGTATCTAATGCAGACATAATCTAAATGTCCATTTGGTGGAGAAATAAAGAAAATGTGGTGCAATAGAATATTACTCAGTCTTTAAAAATAACTGAATCCTGTAATATACAATGACTTGGATGAAGCACAAGGACAATGCTATATGAAAAGCCTGTCATGTGCAGTCCAATGGAATAAAATTGAGAGCCCAGAAATAAATCCATACATACATGAACTGCTTGCTCACAACACAGGAGCCAGGAGTGTTCTTTGGAAAAGAAATCCTTCAACCACATGCAGAAGAATGAAACTAGCTCACACCTTAGACAGAATTTAACTCAAAGTGGATTAAAGACATGGATTTAAAAAAAAAAGCAGGAAGATAATGAAATTATGACATAAGAACATAAGAACACCCACATAAATAAAGCAAATATTGACAACATTGAAGAAATAGAAACAACAAAGCTTGAAAATTCCAACTTCAATAGTGGATACAAAAACAAAACGGAAGATGAAAAAGAAGACAGCTGACTGGAAAACAACATACCAATTAGATATAATAGACTTCCCCAAACTACCCCTCAATACAAGCAAGGATTCAATATCCAGAGAAACCTTGGATAGGTGTCTTTTAGCAAAGGTCAACAAACTAAATAAAAACCTCAGCACTACTTGCTGGGAAAGTACTAGTAGTTCAATTCTCTAAGGTCCTGCTGCACATAATTTTTAAATACTACCGCTCTCTTTTTAAAATATTTATTTATTTATGCATACAGAAGTTGGATACAGGTCAGGGGTGTGGGGGGTGAGAGGCTTCACCAGAGACAGTGGGGAGCAGAGCAGGCAGATGGATGAAGCACACTGCTGGGGGAGCAGCGGGCGGGCCGGGAGAGGTCTGCCTCCTCCCTGGTCAGGAGTGCAGCACGGGCTGCACTATCTGTGATAGCTTCATAGTGCTGCGCTTTAACTTGCTGCCCCACCAGGGAGGGCCCTTCTTTAAAGCGGCAAAATGGGCAAACAAATATAATCATGGAATCTTGGCAAGAAGGGACTGTGGCATGATGGAAAATTCTCCAGACTCTAGACACAAGGACAAGGAAGATTTTACCTTTCTATCAGATAGACTTGAAAATTATCCTAATAGAGAAAGTCAAAGAGGTGGAGAAAAACACCAAGAAGCAAGTTAAGGTGATATTAAAGAACTCAGAACAGGTAATCAATAAAACAGAACAAATTTCAAAAAATAAAATGAGTGAGTGACCTAAGAAATGTAATTAATGGACAGAAAAATGAAAATGAAACTTTTAGAAAGAAAAGACATTTAGTATATAAAAAGGTCACAAAATGAAATAAAACATAATAGGCAGATCTGCTGAAAGACACTGGAGGGAGCAGCGGGAAGACAGGAGAGGTCTGCTGCACCCTGTGGGCCAGCCCCTGGCCGGGGATCGAACTCATGCTGCAGTGGTGATAGGTAGGTAGACAGATAGATTAGATTAGATAGATTAGATAGATAGATATAGAGAGACAGACATATAGATAAGATAGATAGATAGATTTTAATAAAGTACAAAAGAACATAAACTAACAACTATAAACCAGAGATACTCTTACAGGAGAAGAGAGGGGGACAAGACCCAGGGGTGGGAAGAGCACATGGACTATGGTGATGGCACAGGGGTGAAATGGTGGGAAGCTCACAGGGATTACAACTGAGATTAAAAAAAAAATTACAACATCAGGGCCTCCCTGGTGGTACAGGAGTTAAGTCTCAGCACTATCAAGCTATCGCCAGCCACTGTGGCATGAGTTCGATCCCTGGCCCGTGAAGTGACCCACATGGCGTGGCAGACCCCTCCTGACCCGCCCACTGCTCCCTCAGCAGTGTGTTTCAGTAGATCCACCTGTTCTGCTCCCCACTCTGCCTCTGCTGAATCCTCTCACCCACTCACCCCCACCTGGCCCAGTTTTTGTATGCATAAATAAAAATAAATCTTTAAAAAATTACAGTATGAAAACCCTGAAGCACATGCACAGATTGTCCCAGGGTCCAAAAGTGTACAGTGAAGCAGAGATAACAGGCATTCCCTTGTGGGTAGCAGGGAGGACTCTGGACGAGCCTGTCAGTGTGATGCACGAGCAGACTGGAGCAAGACAAGCAGCAGCAGAACAGGTCCCTCTGTGACAGTCCAGAGCACGCCAGGCTGCAAGAAACACGTTGCTAGGCCACATCTGCATCAGCTTCCCGCTGACTTTGGGACCCGTCACATCTTTCATTTGCTTCATCCAATCCCACCTACCTGGCGTCATGACCACTGTTTCCTTTCTCTTCCTCTTACAGGATTCTTTTCTTTGTTTCAAAAAGATGACCAGGTCTGGCTTAGAGACACTGAAACCTGTCTGTCAGAAAAGGGGACACAACTGTGGCTGGTCATTTTCCAATCTCCCATTCAGTAACGTAATCAGTGGAGAAAAGAGAACATTATATTCTAGCAAACTCTTTCAGTAAACAATGATTCCTGGTATATTCTGGTAACTTGGGAGACTTTCAGTTTTCAGGCCCTGATGTCTACTTGCAATAACTACTGAATAAAAAACAGGAATGGTTATTGTGAATTTCAGATGTGGGCAAAGTATTGCGTGCCACTGAATTTCTACAATTACTAATGATCCAGAGGGAGTAATACAGATCACCTCAAGATAACAATGCTATGGTCATAATGAAAACTTGTGAAGATTTTCTTCTTGTCAAGAAATTAGTTCATAATTACATATTTTAAACTGATTGAAAATTCAGTCATAAAGCAGCAGCCCCAAGATCGCTCTAGAAATGATGGAACTGAGAGTCTGGGTGGGTCATGAACCATGGAGGGAAGGTGTCCTCACCCAAGGAGACCAGGTTCTTGTAGTTGTCGAGCATCACATCCCTGTATAGTTTCTGCTGAGCCTGGTCCAGGCAGTCCCACTCCTCCTGGGAGAACTCTATGGCCACATCTCTCAAGGTCAACAGTCCCTGAAATGAAAGAAAAACATTTATCAAATGTCTGCTGTAATGCAATTATTTAAACCAATATTAAAAGAGAGGGTTAAGAAAGCTGGTTCTGACATGTAAACAACAAATTATCCAGTAAGAGAATTTTTTTAAGAAAAAATATAATCTAATGTTTTCCAAATGCTCAGGAAGGAGGATGACACAGATCATCAAACTGATGAGGTACTGTAATTTTGTGGAAGATGAAATACGTAGTCAAGGCATCTAGCTCTAATGGGTCGAGCACTGTAATACATTCTGTATTACAGTATAGTTGTGTGTATTTCTCAGATAAGAAAGTTATGGTGAGGGCCCTCCCTGGTGGCGCAAGGGGTTAAAGCACAGCACTACTATCGCAGACACTACAGCATGAGTTCGATCCGCAGCCAGGGAAGTGACACACATGGCATGGCAGACCTCCCCTAACGTGCCCGCTGCTCCCCTCAGCAGTGTGTTAGTCGGTTTGCCTGTTCTGCTCCCCACTCTGTCTTTGCTGAATAATCTTACCACCCCCACATGTCTGGCCTGTACCCCAGTTTTATATGTATAAATAAATAAATATTAAAAAAAGTCAGGGTGAGGGGCCTACCCAGTGGTGCAGGGGTTATAGCGCAGCACTATGAAGCTCTCCGGAGTCACTGCAGCAGGGGTTCCATCCCCGGCCAGGGTCTGACTCACAGGGCGCAGCAGGCCTCTCCTGACCTGCCCGCTGCTCCCCTCAGCAGTGTGTTTCTGTCACACACTGTCTCTGGTGAACCCTCTCAATGCCCCGCACCTCTTGCGGCTACCCCATTTCCTGCATGCATAAATAAATACATCTTTAAAAAAAGAAAGTCATGGTGAGTTAACAGGAGAACTTAACAATTGTTCATGTGAAAACAATGCAGTGGACATCTTGTTAAATGCAGGTGCTGACTAGGAGTTTGGGGGACCTTAGTTTAGTCACTAACAGGGTCCCCAGTAATTTTAAGGACTCTCCTTCAAGGGTTACATTTTTAACTTACAAAGGTACAGAAATAACAAGGGGAGAAATTAAGAATAATTTGGAACTAAAAGTTTTATGACAAATATACTTCCTAATATAACAGCAATGATGACTTCTGAACATTTACTATACACTAAATGCTATTAAGTTTTAGAAATTAATGCCCAAAAAAGCCTTTCAGAGAAATACTTTTCTTCATATCTAAGAATATTAAATTAATAGTAAATTGTAGAGTCTGGGCTTTAACCCAGTTTATCTGAGAATTTATAAATTTATATATGAACACACAGATCAATATTTAAGACAACCCTAAAAAATGTACATATTTGGTTTCTTAAATGATTAATGGAAACAAAGACTAAATATCACAGATGTGATCTAAAACCTTTTCTATTGCATACATAAAAATTACCAAAACACGTTAAAATACCAAAAGAGTAAAACATTTTCTAATGAAAATTTCTAGACAATATTTGTGTTTATGTTTAACACAGTGTGGAAACAAACATACAAAATAATGTAACCTAAAATGAGAACTTTTATTTGCAACTCTTTAAAATTTTTTCATCTACAATATGTACCAAGTAATATTTTAGAATTTTAAGACAAGTATATGGTCCTTTTTTTTCTTCTTTTTAAAAAAGATTTATTTATTTATGCCTACAAGAACTGGGGTACAGGCCAGAGGTGTGAGGGTTGAGAAGATTCACCAGAGACAAAGTGGGGAGCAGAACAGGCAGAAAGACCTATACACACTGCCGAGGGGAGCAGCGGGGAGACAGGAGAGGTCTGCTGACTCCTGGGGGTCACTCCCTGGCCAGGGATTGAACTCCTGCTGCTGAGGCTGCAGAGAGCCTCATAGCGCTGAGCTGTACAGCCACTGTGCCACCAAGGCCCCCTGATCCTTCTATTTACGAAATTATAAAAAATCATGAAGAACATATCTGACATGACGATGGAATGAGACAGAATCTAGGTCTCAGGATCTAGGTCCCACTGATTGCAAAAGCCAGCACATCCAGTGAACAAAGGTGAGAGACTTCATTTTCTTTTCTTTTTTTTCCCCGAAGATTTATTTATTTACGCCTACAGAATAGGGCTAGAGACCAGGAGAGGGGGGCAGTGAGAGGCTTCACTAGGGACAGAGTGGGGAGCAGAACAGGCAGATGGACTGAAACATACGCCGAGGGGAGCAGCGGCGAGACAGGAGAGGTCTGCTGGGCCGTGTGGGTCGGCTCCCTGGCTGGGGATGGAACTCGAGCTGAAGTGGCTGTGGTGGCTTCATAGTGCTGTGCTTTAACCCCCTGAGCCACAGAGTGGGCCTGAAAGACTTCATTCTCCAAAACAAATGTGAAACAATGACAAACTAAGAGGAAATGGGATTGCTACAGGAAGCCTGATGGTTTATGGATAACAGTTGCATGCCCATAATCACTACTTAGGAAATGGAGAAGCTATTAAGATTATAGTAGAAGAATCTTGCAGAGCATTTACACCTTTCCAACAAAGACAACCTTAACTCTCATGCACAGATTGATTATCAGGAGCCTGATGCAGGCAGACATGTCACAGCTGTGTTTCTGTTTGCAAAACAAAAGTAGACTGTTAACATGAGTTGAATCATGAGTTAAGTTTTATGCAAATTTTAAGCCCCTTTTAGCTCCCATGTCCTGTAAATGTTGGTGTATTTTATTTTTTTCAATGACTTATTTATGCATACAATAGCTGGGGTGTAGGCCAGAGGTGCAGGGAGGTGAGAGGACTCACCAGAAACAGAGTAGAGAGAACAGGCGGATCTACTGAAATACACTGCTGAGGGGAGCAGAGGGGAGACAGGAGAGGTCTGCTGTACCGTGGGTCAGCTCCCTGGCTGGGGATCAAGTTTGTGCTGCAGTGACTGCCCATAGCTTCATAGTACTAAGATGTAACCCCCAGTGCCACCAGAGAGGCACTTTAGTATCTTTTACTTTATCTAAAAATTTTGGGGGACCTCCCCCCTCCCTGGTGGCGCAATGGGTTAGGGCCCAGTGCTGCAAGGCTGGCCACAGCCACTTCAGTGCGAGTTCCATTCCCAGCCAGGGAAGTGACCCACATGGCGCGGCAGGCCTCTTCTGACCCGCCTGTTGCTCCCCTCAGCAGTGTACTTGGTCCATCTGACTGTTCTGCTCCCCACTCTGTCTCTGGCGAATCCCCTTCACCTCTGGCCTGTAACCCAGCTCTGTATGCATCAATAAATAAATCTTTAAAAAGAAGAAAAAAAAAAAAGAAAAAGAAAGAAGCCAAGACAGAATAGGGTGAAATCTCTGGAATATAAGAAGTGTTCAAAAGCTAACCCTTACTAACATGAGAAGCAAACAGAAACAACTTCTTGAAGAGAACCAGGAGAAAAGGGAGGGCGCCCACGTTGTCAAGCGCTCACCATTTCAGGCGGAGGCCAAGGCTGTGACCCGGCCTGAGCCCACCTGAGAGCTGCCACTTCTTCCTCGTCCATCTCGCCTCTGGCTCCTTTCTCAGGAGATGCCAGGTGGAGAAGTTACACCTGCAACTGAGGACGGTCCTTTCAGTGACAGCAGCTCACCGCCTGCTTCCACCACACCCGCAGACAGCAGGACCCAAGAAGGCAGAAATCTCCGCCCTCTCCTGTCTTCCGTCACAGGACAGATTCAAGTGCTGTGTGCTCACACATGGGGACCTCCAGTGGGTTTCCCTTCCGTCTTCAGGGCCTGCCCCTCTGCCCACAGATCCCGCTACAGCGTGGGCAGTGTGCAGCGCCAGCCTGCCTCTCACCGCCCCGGGAGCCGACGCTGCCCAGCTCTCATGACCTAGGGCCCCGCGGCTTGCGCTCAGAGTCACCAAGAACGCATGGCTAAATACTGATGGGCCCACACAGATCAAAGGAATCTGCGGGGGGAGGAGGGGCCCAGGCGATGCTTTTTTTTTTTTGCCAAAAGGCACATGTAACCCTGATGGGAGTCCAGGGCTGACAAACTCCCACCTCCGCCTGGCTCTCAAGCCTGATGTGCAGACCCCGCGGGGTGCTCTGGGGCCCACTCTAGAAACTGTGGCCCTGCATGCTTGGGGGGGGGGCATGCACTGCACCTGAACAAGCTCCTCAGTGTTGAGGTGCTCCCTCTCCACCCCCAACAGCTGCACTAAGGTGGAGACACAGCACCCCTGGGCCTCTCAGCCCCACCTTGTGCCTCAACCCTGAACTGTTCCTGTGAAGAGCACCAGTCACCATCCTGAGAGACCATACGGTTTCTGGCCTTTAAAGCCAGCAGAGGTGGGAAGAGGGTTTAACGTCTGAGCAGGTCTGTCAGCCGACGCGTACGCACTACTAACTGTGTTTACTGTCAGGCGGCTCTGTGCGGTGTCACGCAGTGCCTGCGCTGGGAACCTCCCTTGGGTGATGGAACACTGACTCCTGCTCCCCGTGAGTTGAGTCCCACGTGTTGCATAATTCACATGAAGATGCAGGTGGTGGGTTTAACATGAAGATTCTGCAGAAAGTGCACCTTGGCCCAGGCCCCTGAGCAGTGCCACAGAGGAGCAGGGGAGCCCAGATCACACAGGCCCCGGCTAACTGAGAGGGCTCCGGCTCTCGCCGAGGACGACATGGAAGATCAGGGAGCCAAGGAAGGGGGACTGCGGATTTCTAAGACATCTCCGTGGAAGCTGAGCTCGGCCAACTGCATCTGAAGGTCTGGCTTCCTCCCTGTCCTCTGGGCCCTCACCGGGTCACATTTCAGTCCTTCCCACCGGCCCGAATGCACCACTGGCTTCTTTCTCTTCACACACCAGGGCTCCTTCTGTTGCGCCTCAAAGGTGACCAAGTGCGGCTTAGAGACAGTGGGACCTGTTTACCAGGAAAAGGAATATGCGGTTCCCAGCTGAGACTCCAGTTTCCCACCAGCACATGACCACGGAGGAGAGCAAGTACTTCTCAGGCCTGCAGGCAGGCCTGACACGCGTCTGTGCAGCTGGAAGGTACACAGGCTCACACCGCGGACTCAACCGCGCCCTGCTCCGAAGGGAGGGTTCAGATGAAAGGGGCAGAAATTCCACTGTAATGGTGGGAAACAATGTTTTCTTTCACTGTACCTCTAGATTTATTACTTACGCAGAGTGCACAAAGATCACCTCCCAAATAAGGCCGGAGGGAAGGCTAAAATCACGAACCATCTTGAAGACTTTCTCTCCTACACCAACTCATCCCCCATTTTCCCTTGACTCTGTCACATGTGGTAGGGGCCCGCAGGAGGCCTGTGCAGTCCTGCCCAGCAAGGAAAGCAACCCCCAAGTGTGGGTCAGGGGTTCTGGAAGGAAGGCGCCTCACCACAACGAGGTGTCTGCACACCTCTGGCATCACGCCCCTGAATGCCGCCTGCAGAGCCTGGCCCAGGCATCCTTCCTCCTGGAGAACGCTGTGGCCACATCTGTGAATGAAGATCAACAGTCCCTGAAATGTAAAAAAACAAAAAAACACCAATTTACCAAGGATCACAGTGAGCTAAGGAAACTGATTATGTGTTAGGTAGTGAGTGCAATTACCTGCTGTTTAAGCTAATTTTCACACAGTGATTTTCTCTGATCAGTTTTCTACCTCTGAGGAAAGCGGATGAATTGGGAGCCACGTGGTCACTGTCATACTCTGTTCTCTGGGAATGTGAATGAGAAAACGAAGGCATGAACACAGCCACGTACACCTTGAGTGCTGTTTCTGTAGAATAGCCGACATGCTGTCCCCATTTCTGAGGTGGAAAGATGGAGCTAAACAAGAATACTACTTTGCAAATTTAAAATGTATACCCATGAATTGGAGCCACTGCAACAATGCAGAATCTGATTCAGGCGTTCTGAGGTGAAGTCTGAGTTTCTGTATTTTCTTAAGATTTATTTATGCAACAGAACTGGGGTACAGGCCAGAGGTGCTGGGGCAGGGAGAGATTGCCCAGAGACAGAGTGGGGAGTAGAACAGGCAGATAGAGGAAATACAGCGCTGAGGGTTCAGCGGGTGAGACAGGAGAGTTCTGCTGTGCCATGTGGGTCCCCTCTGGGGCCGGAGATCGAACTCGCATCGAAGCAGCTGCAGCTAGCTTTGGAGTGCTGTGCTTTAACCTACTGTGCCAGCAGGGAGGTCCCAGTTTCCATATTTTAACAAACTCTTTTTTAACCTTTCCTGCTAAAACCTTGGCCCAAGGTTTTAGTAACAGTGAGAAAAGGAGGAAAGACTTTTTAGGAGACAACATGAAAATTTTTTTGTGTGTGTATCCATATATATGGAGCCAATTCTCGGTGTGGGACTGTCCTGCGTATTGCAAACCAGTTAGAGATTTATAAAATCGTTAACAACTGGAAAAAAAAAAACAACCCCAAAACCTCAGCCTTTTCATGTGCTTAAGTTTACAAATGTGATTATTCATGTTGTAGGGAATGAGAGGATTCACCAGAGACAGAGTGGGGGCAGTGCAGGTGGATTTACTGTAATCTACAGAGGGGAGCAGCAGCCGGTGAGACAGGTCTGCTGAGCCATGTGGGTCAGCTACCTGAGTGGGAATCGAACTTGTGTTGCAGAGGCTTCGGATAGCTGACCTGCACCACCGGGGGCCCAAATAAGTGAACTTTTACTTTAAACTTTTGAAGAACATTTTCCAAAATGTATGGCGTCATTCTAGACTTTTGTAAACCAAGTACACTGGTTTATATTTTCATGATAAGTCAGGTCATAATTACGACAATCAGAGTTTTATGCTACAGTATTCCAAAGAACTCATAAGAGACACGGATAAATTTTCACATTAGAGAAAAGCCCGCAGATTTTTGTGCTTTCCGGGGGCCTAAGGGTTAAGTCTGAGTGCCATCACCACTGTGACCTAAATTCAGAGAGCTGACCCACGTGGCTCAGCAGACCTCTCCTGTCTCACTCACCCTCTGCTATCCGTAACAGTGCATTTCAGTAAGTCTGCCTGTTCTGTGCCCCACTTTGTCTCTGATGAATCCTTTTCATCAGCCCACCCCCAGCCTACAACCCAGTTTTTCTATGCAAAAAAAAAAAAAGACTTCTGTGCTTTTTGTATTTTTCCCTTTTTTATTTCATTTCCTTTGAAACATGAAACCAGAACTAAATAGAAAAACCAGAAATTACGATAACATTTTCATTATTTCTGCAAGAAAAATATCTCCTAGCAAAAATCAAGTCTCAGGGCTCTCCCTAGTGGCGCAACAGGTTAAAGCACCACATTATGAAACTGTCCAAAGCCACTGCAGCACAAGTTCGATCCCCCGCCAGGGAGGTGATCCACATGACGTAGCAGACTTCTCCTGACCCGCCCGCTGCTCCCCTCAGCAGTGTACTTCGTCAGTCAGCCTGTTCTGCTCCCCACTCTGTCTCTGGTGAAGACTCGCTGCCCCTGAGCCTCTGGCCTGTACCCAGTTCTGTATGAATAAATAAATCTTTAAAGAAAATCAAGTCTCAAACTGAGTCTTAACAAGCCAAAAACACAGCATCAACACATAATAGCAATGGCTCCAAAGAGGCTGGAGAACTGGCACCCCCCAGCACTAACCGGCCTCAGCTCCCCACTCACACTGAGCTCACATGCATGTGGAGGGAGCTGAGGGAGAGGACTCGGCCGGGAGGGAAGCAGACAAGGTCAGAGTTTTAACAAAGTTATGAATATCTATACCAAGTACAAAGTGGTTGGGCAGCACAGCCATCACAGCCAATCAACACAAAAATACCACGCTCAGGGCCCCGGCTCCTGACCACACCCCTGCGGGCTGCCCACCACCACCCCGGCCAGGGCTGTCCCTGAGTCTGATTTTCATGATCGTTCTACTTCACTCCTCCATCAGTTCTTGAAACTCTTCCACCCCGTCAGCATCAGCCTCACCTCTAGTTTGCTGTGTGTAGCCCAGCAGGTGGACATGTGGACAGCTGCCGTCTCAGAACCAGACCCCCAGCTCAGTCCAAGCGACAGCCTATGGGAGGGTCTAGAGGCCTCTCATTCGAAGCCAAGAGTTCGATCTTTTTAACTGCATGAGTGGTGACAGCCACCTTTGCGTCTCAGAAGCCCCAGCATTTACTTGCACGTTCCCAGCTGTGGAGGCCCATCAGACTCGCCGGAGGGGCCCAGCGCAGCACAGTTCCACACCAGTGGGCCGGCTCTTCCTGTACGGCTATCCTGCACACGCGAGACACGGAAGGGCACTGGCGTCAAGTGTCAGCAGCGCCCTTACACACCACGGCAACAGAAACACCCATGGACCGCCACGGTCCAGGAGCGCGGGGAGCTGGCCGGTTGAAGGGGACCCTCCCCCAGCTGCAGCCGGGTGTGTGCACTCAGCTAGTGCGGCCCTCCTGGGAACTGCATGGGCCACTCTGGACAAAACAGACATCCTCACCCACAGACACAGCCTCGACAAAATCAAAGCGTCACCTTGGAGACTTTCACGAGAGCCACCGAACCCCAAACCTCTTCGCCCACCCGCCTGCATCAGTGTCCCTGCCCAGAGCCCCGCTGGTCTCCAAGCAAAGCTCAGCTGGACCGGTGGGTGCTGCATGTCACGCGAACTCAGTGAAAGCAAGACCACAGAAAACAATCACTGTTTGAGGATAATGACTGCAGTCCAAGGGAGAGAAGACAAGGGTCTGAATGAAACCTTGGATTTGAGTGACACTTCAAGAGAGCAAGGGTTTTGGGGCTGACTCCTGACCACAAAAAAGAAGAGGCCAGGATCATTTAGTGTGATGTCTGCACAGCAGAGGAGTGACTGTGGCTCTGTAAATATGTGTGGACAGAGTTAAAATTTTATGATTGGAAAAAGAAATTAGCTGAAATTGGAGCCCAAGCAGTGAATTAACCATTGATAAGTGTGATATAATCTTGAAATAAAAGTGGAAAGGTAAAATGAAGTGAGAGATTGAATACTGGTTGATAGCAGAAACTACTGAACTATTGTTAAAAGAAAAAAATAAACTAAAAAACCAGAATTTTCCCAAAGCAGGTTCCATAGCATTTACTCTTCAAATACATACCATGAAAAAGCAAGGTCCCAGGCCAAGCACGACTGGAAAATTCTGTACACCATCGTGACACTTTGATATCTCCTATAAACAATATAATGAACTCTATAAAGTAGAATTTTAAAAATGAATATTAATTAGGATTAGAGCTTCCAAAACTTTACATGACAGGACATTACTAACTTTCCCAGAGACCCAGTGTTCCTCAGAACTGATTGGGGAGCATTGTATTTTGCAAAAAGTTCTCCAACTGCAAACAGCTTCAGTGGCGTCACAGGAAGTGTTACCAGCTACAGGAACAGGATAATGCAAACTACAGGATGTTTTTAAAAAGTACAGATGAAACTGGAAATCTTCCTGCAGCTATTGCATGCCATCAGTGACACTGATACTTCCACACTGGATCCATATAGAAAACAAAACTTTAAAATGATTTTCCAAGTGGAAGTGTAATTGCTGTAATTACAGTTCTCTTAAAACTAGTTGTCCCTGCGTGTTCTATGACTGATTACCGTAAGGCAGGTCTGAGTGAAACAAACACATGACCAGCAGCAAAGCGGGAGAGGAGGGTTCCGGGATGCCCCTTTTTGTGGAAAGGTCCCTCCTGAATACTTTCCTTTTGGGCAAACCACTAGAGAGAGGCTTGTTTTCTCTGGGGAGTGGTGTTAGTTTACCAGTGGGAGTGTAAGTAGCCCCTTAACCGGAACTTTGGCAATTATACCAAATACATAATGAAAAGAATGCGGCACAGCACATAATGGAAACGATACAAATAGACACAACCATCCGGGGTTATCAGTACAGTTTCAATTTGACATGCTTCAACTGTCATGTTAAATTGATAAGATGACCATCTGCCCAGCGCAAACCTGCACCATATAGGATACGGTTAGTGATCAGTGTTACAGGACGCTGACGTGAGGCTAGGAAAGGGCTGTCATTAACCCAAGAAACCGCGGAAGACAACTTTGAAATGACTATCTTCACGAAGATTCTTGCCCAATTCATGCACAAAGAATTCTGCACCAATTATTTACCAGTAGGCCAGCATATCTTCTACATCACACCACCTACACTGTTATTGAATTTACATTAAAAAATAATTCCGGCTAGATCTTGTGCGTAGCCCTGAATCACCTGACCTGAGGCCTGCTCTACCCGGATTTTGGAGGTCAAAAACCACACTAGGGGCCCCCATGGGAGGTCTCAGCATTACCAGGTCTGAAAGCGAATTGAAAACGCCCAGGAAGCGGCCTGGAGACCTGGAGACCACCCTCTGGACCCCATCACAGCCTGCGGGGCCCCGTGATGGCGGGGAGACCGGCGCCCCCTCCCGCCCGTTACCCCATCCCCGGGAACCTACCACGGGGCCTTGCACGACGGGGCTGGGCTCTCCCCACACCCAGGCCCGCGGGCACCGCCACGGTGGGCAGATCACAGCCCGACCGGCAGCTCCACGGCGC